TTGGAGGGAGCAGCGGCAGATTAAATCGGAAAGGAGCAGATTAAACACAAGGAGAGCAAGAGAGAAAGGGAATGACACTTGGAGGCTGGTGGAATCAATCAGTGCAGGGGAGACGTATTGCCTGGCCGCGGTGATGTCTGCCCGCATCTATCTGGAGGCATCCCACAATGCTTTTCTTCTCCTTTAGTAAATACTCACATTCTGTGTGTGTGTGTGTGTGTCTCAGAATCCTTATTCTCCATTAAAAAAATCCCTTCTAATCTCCACACAGGAAAGATCAGCAGTGTACAAAAGCCACACACAGTCTCCAGCGTCTGTGTGATGCTGCATTACACTCATTTGTGCAGTCAGGAAGTTGTGGGTTTTTATATGTCGAACAGCCCACACACACACACATACAGAGCCCGTGATCGGCCTGCAGTTACAGCCGTTCCCCACCAGAGGGTAGTAAAGGACACAGCGTCCGGAGGCTCCGTCCTGCGGGCTGTGTTCGTGTTGCTGGGCAGATATTTATTCTCCTGTCGCGTGCGTTGTGTGGCACGTGCCGAACACCCATTCGCGTGCCTCTCTGTAGGTAGGACTCAGATTTACCAAACCTCGCCCCCCCCCAGCATGTGGTGCTAGGGACAGCACCCCTGTCTTTACAGACATGTGTCATCATTAATTGCTCACATATACACGTTTTCACTGGGGAGGTGGAAAGTCCTTAATCGAGATGTAAGCGGTTTTTGTGATGTCAGCTCAGGGGAGCAGAGGCGTCACCGTCAAAGAGCGACGGCGTGTTGGCCACGGTGAGTGCGTGAGCTCAAACAGACGACCGTCACCCTGATCCTGCCATGTTTAGGTCGGGGTACCAACCAGGATGCTGATTAGGAAACACAGAACGTTCATGCTCACTTCGGCAGATCAGAAGCGGCTTGGAGCATCGGGCCTTGCGGCAGTCAGGTGTGAGGGGAGCCGGGTCCCCCAGACACTATACCTCCTGGAGATCTGAATCTGGTAGTGAACTACGCCACCTGTTGGCGCCCATTCAAACACACATACCCCCCACCTGGCAGGAGCCAGGCAGATAACAGTATCAATAAAACATCCTCTCATTCTGTTCACACACACACACGTCTTTGTGGGGACCGTCCATTCATTTCTGTGGGAAAAATGCTAATGCTAACTATGACACCCTTAACCCCCACCCAACCCTAACCTTAACCATAAGTAACCAAACAAAACACAAGGTTTTTTTTTTTATCACATTGCGAGGACATCTGGTCCCGACAATGTAATATATACATGACCACTCACACATATGGTTCCTGTCTGTCTCTCACCCCATGCCACCCCACTTCGTTCGCCACCTGGTCCCAGGACAGCTGAACAAGCAGAGGCTCTGTGGGGTGTCGACACCATACACATCACCGTCCTGTCCGGTCTCCCTAATGTCTGCCTCACACTGATGCAGAGAGGGGGGGCCGGGGTGGGGGCTATATTAATATGGGCCGTGACGATTGACTGGGGTAGACAGCGAAGCCGGCACGTTTCCCAGAAGTCTTGTACCGCAGAACAGCGCCCCCTATTGGCCCCTCCCTGCCACGGCCCATTCATCTCCCGGGGGTATTCACCGTCTCTGAAAATCCACTCTTTCCCAGAGTTCTCCCTGGCGCACCTGGAAGCGGTGCCGACCTCCATTATGTGGCCACCCTGGAGCGATCGGCGACGCCAGGCTGTAGCCGTGGTAACGGGCAAAGCGACCCGAACCCAGGGAACCAAGGACAGCATCAGTCCCAACTTAGATTATTGTTGGTTAATTGTTCTGAGGAATTTCACTTTGTGGTTGACACTGCGCTCACGGTCTCAGGCTGTGTCGATTATGGGCAACAGTGACAGCTTGGAGGCGATCTTCATGCCAAGAATATGCCCGTCATCTGCTGAGAGCACTGATGCCCCGTAATGGTATCACCAGATCCTCCTCCCTCTAGAAGGTTCTGACCATGACTGCCTGTCCGTCTCAGGTGACATTTCGATTTTGTGGCTTGCCACCAAGGGAGATGGTGCTGATGATGGTGGTTGGGTGGGGGTTCTGTCATGTTTCTCGCTCTATTCTTTCGGATCGCACCGTGACACTGGGGGGGTGGGTGCGCTGGGTAGAGTTTCTGGTGCCAGCGCTCCGTGCAAGTATTGCGCATGTCAGGGCTTGCTGTGGCAGCCCTGCGTGTGTGCCGCAGTCAACCCCCCCACCCCTCAAAAAAAAAAAAAAAATCTCCCAGGAGATGCGTTCAGAGAAAGCACAGATACCGAAAATTGAGGCTTTGAAAAAAAAGAGATTGTATTCAGCTACGTATGTGATATTTCCCGATCCGCAAGATCCAAAATTCCCTAGAAAATTGAACAAAACCACTCACTCACCAACTCTCACATATTTTGCACCCCCCCCCCTCCCCCCCACCTCTGCGTATAGCTGGCAGAATAATCCCATCACATGAAAGTCGGGGCAGGAGAGCGCGCCCATCCGCGTGCTTACGTTTCAATGCAGGAAAAGTGGAGGGGGGTGGGGACACGAGAAGATCTGTGCTTAAATTATGGGTTTAAATCTTATGCGGCTTCATAGTTTGTTCATGAGTTTCCCTCAACTTTGATAATTCAGTTTTATTTCACATTTGCGCTTTCTCCGTCGCATTGCCATTTCCTATAGACCTTCCGTGTCAAACACAAAGGTTTGCCAATGCAGATATGACACCTACAATACCCATATGGACTAAGTTCGGCAGAGGGACACATATTTATAAATACGAGAGGTTAAAACGGGAAGGGGGGGCTAAGCGGCAGATGACAGTGTTTAGGTAAAAAGGGAGTGGTCTGTGCCGAAGTGATGCTTTTTACCGTGTCTGCGTGCGCCCGCGCGTGTGTTTACAGGCTGCCGGTCTGTCCGCGTCCGTCAGTGCGCGCATGTGTGCGACTGCGGCTCGCCGATCTCGAGACCACCGGGGGGAAAGGGGAGCATCGACTTTGTCTCATCGCAGCGTCGGATCCGCTTTTCTTTAAAACAAAAACGGGGGGGGGCTCGCTTTCTGGATGCAACAGAGCTTTTTCTTGCGCGCATCGCGATTAGAAAGAGGGTAAGAGAAAGTGGGAGTGTGGGAAATGCACGAGAAAGAGAAGTAAGCAGGTGTTTTTTTTGCCTCTCTCCCCGCAAGCACCGATGCAGCATATGTTGCACGTCGGTGTTTCCGCTGGCTTGCCACACAGCGGCTTTTTCGGGATGTGCGCCTGTCGCTCCGTATCGGTGAGGCGACCGGCGGGCTGCAATTAGGCGACCGGCGCGCCACGTTTTCTTAATCACTTTCATTAGTCCTTTTCGGCGCTACTTTCGCGATGTTGCAGTCTGTCGGGTGCCGTCGATGGCACCCAGTTTGACGCCAAGCGACGGCCCGCGGAGAGGCTCGCTCGATCTTTAATACGATGAATATAGTCGCCGTTAATCATAGCAGCAGGAGTCCCGGCGGCGGAGGTCCGGCGCTGCGTTTACCGAGCAGTGAGTCAGATCCGTGTGTGCATGCATGTATGTGTGTGTATGCATGCGCGTGACAGTCACTGTACAGAGCGTCCCTTTAATGCCCGTTTAGCGCGAGACCCGTGCCGCGCGCCCGCCCGCGAGTCAGTGTGTCAGTCAGTGTGTCAGTCAGTCAGTGTGTCGCCTGGGCAGCGGTGCCCCACGCCTGAGGCAGTTTCTGGGCAGACTCTGTTGCGCTGCGAGCGTGGGAGCGCTGCGATCCACTTGGAGCAGTTCAGTGCGGTGCGTGCGGCTCCCCAGCCTCGCGCAAAATTAAAATAATATCTGCAGAATTCACGGCCAAGACGGCAGGCATGCCGGCATGGGGCCGGTCTGCACCGGAGCTCTGAGACCTCCGCTTAACTCGCCACGCCGGAGGTAGGGCTGTCTCTCACCGGGAGGCGTTTCAGGCGCAGAAAATCTGGACCCCAGCCAGCGCAACTTGTGGAGAATAGGTCCGACTGCTTGGCCGGCACCTTTCGGCCGCAACTGGGACCAGCAGGGCAGCTCCACCTCGATTTGAGAGCGGGTGGAGTCGGGGAGGAGCTGAGCGGACCCTGGGACTCACCCTCCCAGTCGGTGCAGGAGGACTGGATCTGAGGCACAGGGGCCAAGGCGTCCAGGATGCAGGTGTCCTTCGCCTGCACGGAGCATAACCTGAAGAGCCGCAGCGAGGACCGGCTGTGCGGCCTGCGCACCGCGCCGCCACCGGGGGGCGGCAGTGGGAGCGGTGGGGGAGGAGGAGGAGGAGGTGGGGGCGGAGGGAGCGGGGTCGGAGGCCAGAGTGGAAATGGGCACCACGCGACCCAGGGGCTGAGCAAGCCTAGGGATGCGGCGGCTGCGAGGAACGCGCCCCAGGGCCACGCTCACATGAAGGAGGCCATTGGAAGACACAGCAGCATGAAGTACAGGTGAGTGGGCGGGGCTTGGTTTGGGGGTGTGACTTTCCCTGGGGCGTGGCTAAAGTTCCCTAAGGGCAGAAATAAGCACTGGAACACTGTACTGAATCACTGGAACACTGTATTGAATCACTCTCGTACCTCAACATGCTGCAGTTTGACGGCTTTAAAAAATGCTTCCTCTGCATTTTATGTGGACTGTGAAGTATCGTTTAAAGAGACCTGACAAACGTGGGCTGGCATGTCGACCATAACCGACACGGCGAATGAGTCACTGCTCCTGAGCGGCGTCTTTATACGGCCTCTTCGAAGATTCATGACTGGTGGAGCGCTCGGAAATCCCAGTGACAGGCCCGGCCGCTGTCCCAGTCCTCCAGTGTCCTCTATACGCCTTTCGCGGATCCTTCTAGGCCGAAGTCCCTGATGTCCGGCCTGGACCTTGTGGGACGCCTCCGTTTAGCTGCAGGGTGGGAAGTTGTTCTTGGAGGGAGGGGGGCGCTTGTGCGTAAGAGAAAGAGAGCGAGTGTCCTTTGTCTGTTTTTCCTTGGGCATGGTGATCTTACAACATTAAAATTTTCCATGAAAAAAAAAAACACACGAGTCTTCCTCTCGAAACGCAAAGCTCCCCCCTCCCCGGCCAACCAGGGAGGGAGTCCAGATTTAATTCCAGCCGTCCTTCAGATGGTCTTGTTCCATGTCGTCTTCCCTCCGCATCGGAGCGTCCGGAAGTGTATGCCACGACATTCCCATCACTGTGTCTACCATGTGACTGCCTGTGGGCGGGGCTTATGCCCTTCCTTCCTCCTAGTTGAGGAAATGGCGACGGTAATTCATTTAAGGGGCACCATGCTTTAAATGCACCATGATCCTGTGCCAAATAAGGATGGATGGATGGATGGATGGGTGGACGAAGGGATGGATGGATGGATGAATGGCACATCTCCACCCCTCCGTTATCAGTTTTCATTAACAGTGTGGAGGTACCTTTCCCCATGTCCACCTGTCGACTACACCTGCTCTGCAGGGCTCGAAGCCGATTGGACGACCCTGGGTTCAGATGATCAGCCGAAGGTGGCGGCTTGGGCCCTTGCCTGCCAGGTCACGGCGTGCGGCACTTTTACAAAAGCAGCCGCTTCGGAAACAGCCTGATTCAGCAGGAAGTTCAGTCTCTGGTTCGTTTGTGCCCCATAAGACGAGGCATGCTGGGTAATCTAGGGCCTTGGACTGAAATGAAGATACGATGACAGTAAAGGCAGGAAAAATCTGTATAAAAATGGAAGGTCATGTGTCCAATTTGTGTAGTTACATAGCACCTTTAATTTAATTGAATTTTTTCTGTAAAATTAGTTCTTTAGTGGACGTTGCCTTAAGCAATATTAAGTTCATCGTTTACCCAAATCTATAGTATATTAAAATAATTACGGGCAATTGCCCGGCTAAACGTTCAATAGCACAACCCCTTGTGGGATTTGACCCAGCACTTGCTTGGCCCGAAAGCCGGCTTGTCAGCCACGGCCACCCGCTGCTGGCCCTGGGAGTGCGTGACAGACTCTGGGGATTGCACAATGAGTGGTGACCTTGACGGGGCGCAGAAACCAGCAGCTGCAGGATTACTGCTCACAATGTGGATCCGTCCACCCGCCTGTCGTTAGCCTCCGCTAGCAGCGGCTTATGGGGGCTTCATGAGTGTTATGGCAGAGTCACTGACTTCCTAATTAGTAGGTTGTGGGTTCAGATCCCCAAAATGTCCATCAAGGAACATCACTTACTCCCTTACTGCAATAAAAGTGCCACAACTTGAAGTGTAAACTTAGTAAATTGCTTTTCGATTACGACATTAAAAACATCCCTTTTAAATGTTATAATCTGTGAATAGACTGGATTTCTTGGGTGACCTGACACATTCCTGACTCTGGCTGCCTGTTTCCTTCATCGCCATGTCCTGTCAGGTCACCATCGCCTCGTTGCTGATGCAGATTGCAGATTGCAGCCTAATTGCAGCCTCTCTGGGTTCATTTCGGCAATCGCAGCCTCCCAAGCCACTTACTAAGCCCTGGTCGGCCTGTTTGCAGCCTGTTCTTGTCATGCATGGTTCCGATCCCATCTGGGCCCCTGTTCATTAGTAGGCTCTTTTGGTGATTAGGATTACGAGGACCATGATTATGTTATCGGCAGGGTAAGGGCTGTGTTTTGATTCCCCTGTGTCGTGTTTTTTTAACCCCGCCCCGGAAACTTCTGTCTAGTGCAGGGGGGAGCCGGTTATCTCGGATAATCATGGCTTGAGCTATGCTCGCCCCCTGCCCCCCAGCTCTTATCTTCACTGCTTCTTAATTGCTTATGCTAACGAATTAAAAGGGGCATTAATCTGGGCTAGAATGTTTCGCGATCCGGGTCTGGCCAACTCTCTCTCACTCTCTCTCTCTTCCCCTTCGTCGTTCCCTCTCTCCATCCCTCTCTCTCTCTCTCTCTCCCTCTCCCCGTGTGCCTTTAAGTAAATATCATTGCGGTGCATTGCAGTATTCTGGGCTCGCCGTGCGTGTTTGGGTGTCTGTGAGCGCGAGGGGGCGCCCCGCTGTGTTCATGTGGGTTTTGTGTGTCCTTGGGGGCATGTGCATATAGGGTGGGGGGGGCGCGTTGCCGTGTTGCGCCGTTTCCACGGTCACTCCTCCCTGTCCGGACATTCCGGAACTCTGGGGGGGGGGGTGTTTTTAAGGGTCAGATACCCTGTCTTTGGGCAAGCCTGAGTGGGTGTGGCTAACTCGAGGGCACAGACACAGACACACACACACACACAGACACACACACACGCTTTTTGTCCATGCCCATTGTACCCAGCCAGTGTGACCCCCGTCTCGTCACGCCTCACAGAAGGACAGTCTGGTCCATGTTCACGCAGCAGGAGCTGAGGGGGGAAGTGATGTCAGTGCCAATCACTGGCACCAGGGGGCATGTGTGTGTGTGTGTGCGTGTGTGTGTGAGAGAGACACACTCAGCCCTGATCACAAACAGACACACTCAGACCCTGTGGGGGGTGTGATGAGGGGGGGGGCAGGGACTCTGAGCACCGCTAGAAAGTTATGCGCTCAGAAGGGAGACCGCTGTGGTGCTTGTATTGTTACGCAGCGTCTGTGGTTGTGGGGTCGCGTCCTGGGGTGTGCGGAGGGCCAGTGAGTGACTGGCACCTTCTCCAGGGAGTACTAAAAGCTATCAGCTTGAAGGGTGGTGACAGTCGGAAGAAGTGGGATGGGGGGGGGGTGGGGTACGAAATCCCCTCCCCACCCTCAGGACAGCTGGATTCACCTGGGCCAGACTCTGCAGAAAAGCTGTACCCCGTCTCCACGGCAACACGTGTGACAGCTGTGTCTGTGGGCCCCGTCCGCCCCTAGGGGCCGGACTGAGGGTTTAGGTGTCCGCGCGGCTGCCTGTCCCCCACGGCACATGATGGGTTCACACGCATGAGCGAGTGGCCTGCCCGTCCTTTTGTTAGTTTTTTTTTTTTTGGAGTGGGGGGCTCTTGTTGGAGAAATCCCTGGGCTTCATCTGCGGGAACGGGAATTAAAAGAGAGCAGGGAGTGTGTGTTTGGGTGTGTGCGTGTGTTTCTGCAGGTGGGTTTAAATTAAGCTGACCTCCCTCCCAATAATAAAAGACCAAAAAGGCGCAGATGAAGCCCCCCCCCCCTGCATCAGACGGCTGCCACTTTCTCTTTTCTCTCGACAAGCTGAGGTTTTTTTTATTAACATAGGAAAGGTCACTCAAGGATCCTCACATTATTAAAAAAACATTATTATGGA